GTCAATATTATCTCAGATGCTGTTCTAATCAAGAGAAATTAACAAATTGCTGTTTTTCCTTGTGAGAGAAAAGAGCTTCTATTATTTAAGATTTCATGGGAGAGATTCTAGAGACTATCAGTCCTCTTTAGTCTGTTGTAAAGAGTATTTGGTGTTAGTGACAAATGCAGTTCTAGAGGCTAAAATCCTATTTCCATCTCCATAACAGGTGAAGCTTAAGCAGCAGCAGTGGAAGCCCTCTCAAAACAGCTCCAACTCTCATGTAAAGGAGCTACTTTTAGGCCTTCTATAGGGTACGTCTACACAGCAGTGTTATTTTGGAATAACTAACGTTATTCCAAAATAACAAAGAGCGTGTCTACACTGCAAGCCTTTATTTTGAAATAATGGCAAGCTGAAGGATTTCTTATTCCAATGCCTGTAACCCTCATTTTACAAGGAGTAAGGGAAGTTGAAGGAAAAGTGCTCTTCCTTTGACTCTCTGCTGTGCAGGCAGTGCCAAAAGCCAAAATAAGCTATTTCGACTTAAGCTACACAACCTCCCTAGAGAACACATTCCAGTGCTTCACCACCCTCCTAGTAAAATAGTAAAAAAGTCACAAACTTGCATGAGCACAGCTCCGACTCTGGCTATCCCCACACCGAACTGGTTCCCAATGGAACAGCAGCTGTCTGGTATTACCTTCCAAAATGTGATGGCAACATGCTTTTGCAGGGGGATGGCAGGTCTCATCTGGGTGTCCTGTCACCAGAAAGCAGGGGTGAGCCACTTGCAGAGCTTCAGAAGGTGGCCTTCTGCATGCAGAAGTTCTGGAGGCACAGCTGATTGTCCAACCACTGTATGCCGATGCAGTCCCACCAGTTGGAATTGGTCTCCCACCAGCAGAAGCAGAGCTGCAAGGTGTGCAGGGGAGGATGGAAGGGAACTTAGTGCATGAGGAGTGCTACGGCCTGGATGAAGAGTTCCCTTAGTCCAGGCAGGTCATTGTGCTTCTGCAGTCTGCATGAAGAATGCCATGAGGTCCAGCAGGAGGCCCCAGAGCCAGTGACTGCTTTGCAGCAGCTCCAACTCCATGATGAGAGTGCTGTGGCGTCTGCAAGGGCAACCAGAGCATGCAGCTGAGTTTTGATATCCCTTAAGGGAGTGGTCAGTGGAGGAGCAGTAGACTCGGCTATAGAGAGGAGCCCCTTTAAGCACGAGTCTCAGCTAGCCTCAGGAAGCAGCTATAGGAAGTGACCGCTCTCCTGATGCCCTCACTGGAGCGCTTCAGGCTCCAATACATGTGGACATGCTGTTTTGATATAATTCTGTGCTATTTCAATGGTGCCTTGTAGTGTGGATTAACTATTTTGAAATAGTTATTTTAAAATAAATTATTTTGAAATAAATTTCCCGGTGTAAACATAGCCTTAGAGACTAACAAAGGTATAGGACCACGAGCTTGTGGGTAAAATCCATTTCCTTTGTTAGACTCCAAGGGCTTGACTACACTACAGAGAAGATCTATGCTGATGCAGTTGATTTTATGGGGCTCCAATTAGCAGATATAGTGAAGACCTGCTAATTCAAACTGAGCGGACAACCCACTGGTGCCTGTAGTTTTGTTCCTCATGAGGCATAAGGGAAGTTGACATGAGTGTGTGGCCCTGCTGACTTCCCACTTTGTGGATGGTGCCAAAACATGATTTAAGATACTTCAGCTCCAGCTACATAATTAACATAGTTGGAGTTGCGTATCTTAAATGGACTTTCCCCTTTAGCATAGACCAGGCCTAAAGTGGCACAGGATTACTGTTTTGTTTAAAAGACTCAATAGTTCATGCTAGAGGTTCAGTGTATGACAACAACCACTATCAAATGCCAAATCAATGGTAATTAATGGCATTTGGCATATTAAAGAGAGGGGTTTGATACCTTATAGGATGGAACCTGAATACCTGCAATTATCAGAAGCTAAATCTTGAGGACCCCACAATACTATTTTGACCACTGCAATGGTGAAGATTATCTGACTTCAATTATGTCACTTAATTTTTACATTAAACTAACAGGCTGGTAAATCATGAAAATGGACATGCATAGTGGTAGTTGCAAATAAACAGAAACTACAATTGTACTATAAAAGCATTACATTGTTTGTAGGTTTGTAAAAGGCTGCAGAAGAGTCTTGCACTATTTTATTAATCACTCCCAGAATTCAAAATATTGTTTGTGCACATTTGAAGGGTTAAAATTAAAATAAATATCTGCAAATCAGTTACAAAAATCAAAATTAATCAAAAACAATGTCAAACATTTGATTCCTAGTTACATTTTGAAACATATTTCACACATAAAGGATAATATAAGTTAATTCTTAAAATATTCTCTGCACTGCTCTTTCAAGAATAATTTCTTAAATATTTAATTGCTGGGTAAGAGATTTAATTCATTTAAATCTTCAATTTTAGAGGCTGCAATTTTAAAGGCTCAGATATAAATTTTATATATGTCAATATCGCAGTGTTCCTAAAGTGGCCTATTATGTCCTGAATAAAGGAAAAATGAACTATATAGAAATAGATTAACTAGATATGGGCTTGTCTACATGGCATGAGTTATGATTTGTAAAGTGTTCTAATTGACCCAAGTAAAATCTGATGGCACTGACTAAAAGTGCCTAATTCAAGTTAACAGTCTTTCAAACAAGGAAAGGTTAATACAAATTAGGTACCTTTTAAAATATGGCAGCAGGGCTGTCAGAGTATAGCTTGTAAGTAAGTGCATTTTACAAGTCACACCCCTCAGGAACACATTCCTATCTTGTGTAAATAAAACCTCTCTTTTGTTAAGAAGGTACAGCAATAAAGTTATGTCTATGGGCCTGATTCTACTCACTTTATACTGATTTTACACCAGTGTAAATGGAGTAACTCCTAACTTACACCACCATGAGAATCAGACTCTCTATACCTGTAATGAGCTTAAGGTAATCAAGAAATATTATGCCATTGACTTCAGTGGTACAAGAGCTGACCTTTAGACAACAGGGCATATTCTTGGTCCTTTATTACATAGAAGAAAATATTTTGGGTGTTTTAAAAGCCAGTTAGTGTTAAAGATGGTGAATGGGAGTTTGAAAAATATCAAGACTATCCAGTATCTAAACTATCAATCTTTGATTCCCCTTAAAAAAAAAGTGTATGTAGGCAGATAAAATTAGCATACTGAATTGAAACAGCACTAAGACATTATGGCAGAAAACTTTGCATTGTCACTTATTAACACCAATAACTGTATGTGCCTTACACAAATTCACCAGAAGTCAGTGGGTAAATTATTCAGTACAGCTCAGCCATACCTCTGCTGCTGCTACCCATTTTACCATGACTATACTGCTATTTATACATTAGATCTCAGAACTATGCATTTTTGTGCACATGAGCAGGGGAATCACACACATAGTTCATAGTGTAGCTATACACATAGCCTAACATCTATTTTGCAAGAAGAAATGATAGGTGTTATGTTTGTCCATATATGGATAGTGCCACTTTCTGAGTATGATGGAAAACAATAAACGTGTGTTTTAAAGTATGCTTCCAGATCAGTTTTTGGAGACCGCTCTTATTTAAAAAAAGCTCTAGAGATGATCTTGGCAATTACAGACTAGTAAGTTTAACGTCAGGATCGGGCAAATTATTTGAAACTATAGTAAAGAATAAAACTGTCAGACATGTGAATGAGCATAATTTGCTGGGAAAAAGTCAACATGTTTTTGTAAAGAGAAGTCATGCCTTATTAATCTACTAGAGTTCTTTGAGGGAGATCAACGAACATGTGGACAAGGGGGAACCAGTAGATACAGTGTACTAAGATTTCCAGAAAGCCTTTGATGAGGTCTCTCACCAAAGGCTCCTAACTAAAGTACGTTGTCATGGGATAAGAGGGAAGGTCCTCTCATGGACTGATAACTAGTTAAAAGACAGGAAACAAAGGGTAGGATTAAATGGTAAGTTTTCAGAATGGTGAGAAGTAACTAGTGGTGTCCCCCAAAGGTCTGTCTGGGGATCAATCCTATTCAACTTATTTATAAATCATCTAGAGAAAGGGGTAAACAGTGAGGTGGCAAAATTTACAGATGATACTAAACTGCTCAATAGTCAAGACCAAAGTAGAGTGTGAAGAGCTTCAAAAAGATCTCAAACTAAGTGATGGGCAAAAAAATGGCAAATGAATGTTAATGTTGATAAATGCAAAGTAATGCACATTGGAAAAAATAATCCCAACTATACATACAATATGATGGGGACTAAATTTAGCTATAACTACTCAAAAGAGAGATGTGGAATCATTGTGGATAGTTCTCTGAAAACATCCACTCAATGTACAGCAGCAATCAAAAAAGCAAACAGAATTTTAGGAATCATTAAAAAAGGGATAGATAATAAGACAGAGAATATCTTATCGTCACTATATACATCGATTGTAAACCCACAACTTGAATATTGTGTACAGATGTGGTTGCCTCATCTCAAAAAAGATATATTGACATTAGAAAAGGTTTAGAAAAGGGCAACAAAAACAATTAGCGGTTTGGAACTGATCCCATATGAAGAGAGATTAAAAAGACTGGCACTTCTCAGTTTAGAAAAAAGGAGATATGATAGAAGTCTATAAAATCATGACTGGTGTAGAAAAAGTGAATAAGGAAAAGTTATTTACTTGTTCCTGTAACATAAGAACTAGGGGTCACCAAATGAAATTAATAAGTAGCAGGTTTAAAACAAACAAAAGGAAGTTTTTCTTTAACCTGTGGAACTCTTTGCCAGAAGATGTTGTGAAGACCAGGACTTCAACCAGGTTAAAAAAAGAACTAGATAAATTCATGGAGATTAGATCCATCAATGGCTATTAGCCAGGATGGGTAATAATGGTGTCCCTAACCTCTATTTGTCAGAGGCTGGAAATTGATGATGAAATTGACAATCAAAAACTGACCAGAAACAGACTAAATACAAAAGTTTAAAGTAGTCTATTTTTTTGGTCCAAGTTGCATAGGATGAAAATAGTGAAATGCCATTAAACAGCCAACAACAAAAAAACCCCAACAGTGTAGATTCTCCCCTCCTCCCCACCCAATCTTTCATCTTAGCTTATCAAGGTGTAGATATTTGTAAATAAAATGTACTTTTTAAATATTTTTAAAACTTTTAAAAGCTCCGTTATATAATATTTATTTTAATCTGACAGTAAAAACACATATAAGCTGTAAAGCACATAAAGGATAGCTTTGAAAGGTAAGAATCCTAATCTTTCAGGGTAATGGAAGATGAAAGCACTGGCTCTTCAGTCACTACTAGAGGAGTCTGAACTATCAGAGGATGAATGTTTTTCTTTCTTTCTCTTTTTTTCTTTTTTGTGATGTTTTCCTTTCTTGGATTTATTCTTTTTCTCCTTTTTCCTTTCTTTTTTATGGGATTTCTGTTTTTTTGGTTTTGGCTCTTCCTCTGCAGCGACACTTGATGAATAAGATCTGTTAAAAATAAACAAACAAACCTCAAAGTTAATACAGATTAAATTATCAATCAGGGTATGCATGTGTGACTCTATATTGAATTTAATGGTGGAGATTATACTAATACACAAATTCACGCAGTAGGTAGAGAGGTTTTTCACACCAGCCTGCAATGGATAATCTAACCTTTTTCATGTTCATCCAAACCTCTCTGATGAGACTTCCTTACCAAGAAAGTGAGATTTGTAGTACTGCTGAACTACAGCGTTCAGAAAAGTGTAGGTTATGTTCAGAAAGAATTAGTGACTCATGGTTGTAAACTGATTACACTGGTTTAAACATTAATTTTATTCTTTTGCTTTGTCTACAGCACTTTCCAAACTATGGAATGTAGACATTTCAAGGATGAAACGTTATTGACAAGCAAATGATCTTACATATTTGTTTCTGAAGACAATGGATTGAAAACATAAAACCCAGGCACCATAAAGAGATGAAACCTTGACCAAATGGTAACAGTATTTAACTTAATAAAGTGGTCAAACAACTGAACTGTTTAATAAGAGATAAATCTGGTGTGGCATTCAGAATGTTTCATGAAAATGTAGCATCTTGATTTTGAGCACAAACTCTAAGATTGCAATGGGGTAAGTCCTCTTTATCTTACTTGAGAACAGCCCCATTAACTTCATTGTTACTGCTTGTGAGAGACAGACATACAGGATTTGGCTTCCTTGCAGTAATAGTCATAGTGTACTAGAGAACTTTCTATGCACATTAGCAGGGAGCAAATGGACAGTTAGGCTACATCTACACTGCAGCACTATTTCAGGATACCGGAATAGGCATTCCACCTCTTCTGAGCACGCCTGTTATTTCAAAATAGAACGGGCTCACTATTCCGACATTCCTGTAAGCCTCATTCCATGAAGAGTAAGGGACGTTTCGGAATGGTGATTTATTTGAAATATGTGCTGTGTAGACAGCGCCAATTTTCGAAATAAGCTATTTCGAAATAAGATATACAATTTGCATAGCTCAAATTGTGTATCTTATTTTGACCTATGGTGCAATGTAGATGCACCCTTAATGTGCAGAATTATCTTCTGACTTCAGTGGTGCCCAAAGGTAAGCACATGCATGACTCTGTGGAACAGAGCCTTAAAGTATGTTGATAGTTTTATTTAAACAAGAGTTTTCTTTTCACATTTGTAACTGCAATATCTATCACTTTTTAACCATGATCCTGATTTGTATGCAAAGATTAGTAATGTGTGTTTAGTTTTACAAGATAAACATTCTGTATCAGAATTCAAATTTAGTATACCTGCTTTTGTAGAGGCAAAAATAAATATCCATTCACACAGGGTATGGATAACAATTTAGATGGCATATTTTGGATTTTAAATTATTAATCCAATTAATAATAAAAATTCTGTTTTGAGATTAATTAGGTATTTGTAAGTTACCTTTTACTTAATTTCTTTGATTTGGATTTTTCTTTGCTTATTCTTTTTAGATTCTTCTTTTCCTCTTCCTGATTTGTATCTGCAGATATAAAAATTGCATTTTATACAATATATTTTTCATTTTTAACTTCAAAATTAATTTTAAAACTGTCACTGAAATCAGTATTTTTTCCATTGTTAATATTTGTGTCAGGACCAAAAAATTTTGTAATCAAATGCTAATTTTCTGGCGCATTTTAAATATTTTGCATAACTGCTGCACTTTGGTTACACAACTCACTGTGAAGAGCCTGAACGTAAATATCAGAGAATTAAATTTAGTATGCAAAACATGGTAAAAAAACTGCTACATTCACAGGAATGCTTTCCCTGCACTTCTTCCTCCACAACAGTATATTTGTATTTACATCCACTCTGGGGATTTCAATACTAACATCCTCTTGAACTCTGTAGTAACAGTCAAGCCTCATTTATCTGAAACTCAAAAACCTGAAAGGAGGTCCTATTTATTCCCACATTTATCAAATGCAACAGACATACAGTGAGCCCTCGCTACTTCGCGGTTCGACCATCGCGGATTCACGACTTCGCGGACTTTTTTCATTACATTATGTATATACGTGAATCCGCGATGGTCGAACCGCGAAGTAGCGAGGGCTCGCTGTATACATGTTAAATATACATGTCCCTACTTCGCGGATTTTCAACTATCGCGGTCGGGTTTGGAACCTATCTACCGCGATAAACGAGGGTTCACTGTACTCTCTTGTTTATCTGAATAACTGCCATTCCTCCCCCCCACTATCTCATTTACTATTTGCGTGTGTAGTCTAAACTGAATATGGTCACTCTCACAAACTGAACTTATTTATACTGGAGTAGGATTTATCCATGGCAGCTGTGGGATGATGAACACGTATGTCATCACTCTGTTGTGGTTCTTCAGCATATTATAGCAATCAAACTTGTTATTGATAAAGCTGGATACAACATAAGGCACATGTCACAAAAAATACAAACATATTTGACCTCCTTATGGAAGAGGGCTCGGAACAGGCACAGAGAATCAGAAATTTGTTCTATTCAGATTAGAGATGTGAACGACTAGTCGACTATCTGATAAGCATTTGCTTATCGGATAGTCGACACGCTAGTCGACTAGTCATTCTCTCCCCCACTTGCTGCCTCTATCAGAAAGAGGCAGCAAGGGGGGAGAACAGGATGCTTCAAAGCAGCAGTGCCGCATGGAGACTGGGGTCATCTGGGGATTCAGAGTTCCCAGCTGACACCGGACTCCATGTTGCACTGCTGCTCTGAAACGCCGCGAGGAGCACTGCTGCTCTGAAACGCCGTGGGGAGCACGGGGCCAGTGGGGGACTCAAACAGTCCCCCACTGTCCCAGTGCTCTTTGCAGAGCTTTCGCCTTTGAAGTGTAACAATAGCCCTAGGACTATTGTTACACTTCAAAGGCGGAAGCACCTTATCAACTAATCAAAATTTTATATCCCTAATTCAGATAGCTTGTCAAAGCAGTGACTGAAAACACTGGTGAGGAAACCTCCACTGTAGCTTCTCTCACTTTCCCAATTCTTTTTAGTTTAAAAAAACAAACAAACAAAAAAGAAGACTCTGATTACGGCACTTAAGTTAATATATTTCACTAGTACTCAATTATGCTAAAATTGTGTGTGGGAAACAAAGAACAACAAAAGGGGAGGTAGTGATGACATAACAGACATAGCATGGGAAAATCCCCTCGCGTACCATAAGTGGCAAGCATGCCGTGGGTTGCCAACCTCTGATCTAGACCATCCCTGACAGATGTCTGTCTGACCTGCTCTTAAATATCCCCAGTGATGGAGATTCCACAACCTCCCTAAGCAATTTATTCCAGTGTTTAACCATCCTGACAGTTAGGAAGGTTTTCCTAATGTCCAACCTAAACTTCCCTTGCTGCAGTTTAAGCCCTTTGCTTCTCGTCCTATCATCTGAGGCCAAGGAGAACAATTCCCACACACCCCTTCCCTGTGACCCTTTTAGATCCCTGAAAACTGCTATCATGTCCCCTTCTCAGTCTTCTCTTTTCCAAACTAAACAAGCCCAATTCCTTTAGCCTTCCCTCATAGCTCATGTTTTCTAAATCTTTAATAATTTTCGTTGTTCTTCTCTGGTCTTTCTCCTATTTCTCCACCTTTCCTGAAATGTGGTGCCCAGAAATGGACACAGTATTCCAATTGAGGCCTGATCAGTGCAGAGTAGAGTGGAAGAATGACTTCTTGTGTCTTGCTCACAACACTTCTGTTAATGAACCCCAGAATTATGTTTGCTTTTTGCAATGGTGTCACACTATTGACTCATATTTAGCTTTTGGTTCACTATAACAACCTAGATCCCTTTCTGCAGTACTCCTTCCTAGCCAGTCATTTCCCATTCTGTACGTGTGAAACTGATTTTTCCTTCCTAAATGGAGTACTTTGCATTTGTCCTTATTAAACTTCATCTTGTTTACCTCAGACCATTTCTCTTGTTTGTCCAGATCATTTTGAATTATGATATCCTCCAAAGCAGATGCAACCCCTCCCAGCTTCATATCATCTGCAAACTTAATAAGCATACTCTCTATGCTATCATTTAAATAATTGATAAAGATATTGTACAGAACTAGTCCCAAAACAGACCCCTGTGAAACCCCACTTCCAGCATAACTGAACCATTAATAACTACCAGTTATGCACCCACCTTATAGTAGCCCCATCTAAGTTGTTTCTGCCTAGTTTATTGATAAGAAGGTCATGCGAGACTGAGTCAAATGCCTTACTAAAGTCTAGGTATGCGATGTCCACCGCTTCTCCTTTATCCACAAGGCTTGTTCTCCATCAAAGAAAGCTATCAGATGGATTTGTAAAGAACAAATCACATCAAACCAATGCTGGCTGTTACCTATCACTATTTTCTTCCAGATGTTTGCAGATGAATTCCTTAATTACCTGCTCCATTATCCTTCCTGGCACAGAAGTTAAACTGACTGGACTGAAGTTTCCTGGGTTGTTCTTATTTCCCTTTTTATAGATGGGCATTATATTTTCCCTTTTCCAGTCTTCTGGAATCTCTCCTGACTTCCATGATTTTTCAAAGATGATAGCTAAATGCTCAGATACCTCCTCTATCAGCTCCTTGAGTATTCTAGGATGCATTTCATCAGGCCCTGGTGACCAGAAGACATCTCACTTTTCTAAGTGATTTTTAATTTGTTCTTTTTTAATTTTAACTTCTAAACCTACCCCATTTCCACTATGAACACGGTAGGACAGATAATGTGGCCACAGACCACATCAATCTCCAAGTAAAGGAACACTACAATGGTAAACCTTGAACCAAGAGCACTATACTGATCTGAGTGCTTCCAAGAAGGAACACACACCTAAAACAAATCCCAATTCCCTCCAATCTGATTGCATCTAGTCCTACAGATCAGGAGAAAACTCCTGAAGGAGTCCATAAGATGGGTTTTCCTTTACTTCAAGGAGGGATATGCAGTCACCTCTGTTTGTCAAAGGAATGGAAAATAATCAAATAAAAACTTAGCTCCATCCCCCGCCTCCCTTAGAAACAAGTCCATTTTATTTACAATTCCGCCTGTAACTCTGAGCTTCTTCTTCTTCTTCATCTCATTTGGAATCAAGTATCCTATATGACATACTGTATGTTAGAACAGACCACTATCCACCATTCGGGGCCTTTTTGTATGTTGAGACCTTAGCTCTCCTGCATCATCTTCTGATGAAGATGCATATCTTTGTGGACTAATTAACCACACCTGTTTTCTCTTACTCTCTGGAGGTTCAGCCTCATTTCCCCAAACAAAGTGTGAGAAATTATCCTTCTGAAGGTTAACTGTCAAATCATAACTATTAGCTGAATTCAAATAAATGCTTGAGAGAAGCAATAGACTGAACAAAGAAAGGGTACCATCAACTTGGAAAAAAGGGAATATTTCCACTTATACATTAAGCAAAAGGATAACATCAATGAAATAATGTATACTACTTCCTCCCAGTTACACAGTCCCAAAATCAGTCTTTTGGATGCAAGAGCATAAACTTAAGCACCCATGCTTGAAAATTTTGGTCAAATGTTTTTATGTAGAAGCTTTTCTCATTTTTCCACAAAGTGTCAGGGAGTCTCAAATCTCTTCAGCCTAAAGCCATGCCATAGAAGCAATTTTTTTAAGTCACTGGATTATATAGAACAAAAAGTGAACTCTAAAACAGTGAAGTGACAGTTACGGGACTTTATATATGATATAGTTGCCCACATCAGAATTATTCTCTATTTAAAACTTACTCTTTTTTTCTGGTAAAGCCTGCAGTTTCCCCAGCTCTTCTTCCTCACTGTCTTCACTGCTCGTACTGCTAACATCTAAAACAATGTCTCTTTTGGGATCCACCCGGAGAAAGTTTCGGCATTCAAATGTCAGATGACCAGCTGAATAAAAGAGCAAGCCACAAGCAGAAACACACCAAATTATAAAATAATTTTAAAGAGTTACTGCTTTGTGCTGAGAAATATGCATGTATGTATTGAACAGATTTAATAAAAAGAATGGATTTTAATTTGGTTTGCCAGTGGGAAAACAAGGGAACATCACATTGAAAAACTATTGCAAAGCTTGGGGCCATGTTTTTGTTTTAGGGAGTGAGGGTTCTCATTAGCATCAGGTGCTATTCCCATCAATATTTCTAGAATTTTTAGAACCACTTCCCTGAAAACTTTTTTCATTATTTGTGAATGTGTCTCATACCCTTCCCTGAAGACTTGAATTTCCAAATTTAAAAATGTTCTTTAGAAGAGTGAAATGTGAGAATCTCCTCTCTTCCAGTGACAAATTATATCTGCAGTAACCAAAATTATCAAATATAAATGTGTATATATACCATCATTCCTTATTATCTAAAACATATTCTTTCTTTGATAAGCTCAAAATCAAAATTCCAGGATAAAGTAAAATGAACTGACAACCTTCTCCCATTTACTGTAGCAATTGATAAATATTTCTAGCTTAGAGATAATAAATGGGCCAATTCCTTTTTAATACAGTCAATATTAGAAATGCTATTAAAGAAGACTTTGCCTGCAGCAGCAGTTATTTATATCAATAGGTATTTAAAAAAATCCAAACAAACGAGGGGCCAAAAATCTTAAATTTGAATCCAGAGAACAGAAACTACTAACTCATCTTAAAATAATAGACTGGAGGGGGGAAGGGGAATACGAAAGAGAGAGTGCCACATTTACGATCATTTGTAAAGCTGACAGCTGGAAAAATAATTTAGCCCCATACAAAAAGGAAACACTGCTAGAAGTCTCCACAGGAACCTGGCTAGTTATTGCTACAAACACAGATTCTTCACATTGAAGATAATCTCCTAAAGCCAAAGCAGTAGGGAACATTAAAACAAAATAGGTTACTTGGCTTTACTGATTTCTTTCGTATCCAGAAAGTTTACAACACTGAATATCAAAAAATGAATCCTATACCAACACATAATTGCCTTCAGTGGCATTGGCAAGTAAACCAACAGTGTCAGAACCTGCTGGAAGAAAGCGTACAACCTCTCTTACCATGTAACCTTTTTCTAAATCAATGAAAAATGGTTTGGAAGGTATGTCAACAAAATGATCATAAATAATTAAGGGAATAATTATTTAAAATTATATCATATGTAATAAAAGTATTTAATTTTTTTTGAAGATTGTTTTTTATTTATAGTCTATTACAGTAGACTTCCAATAATCCGGCACCTTTGGGACCCAGGAGGTGCAGGATTATCGGATATGCCAGGGTATCAGGAGGTACTCCAGCAGGGGGCTGTGACGGGTCTGCTGGGACCCGCACTGTGAGCAGCAGGAGAGGCGAGGGGGGGGGGGCTCAGCTGGGAACGGCACGACGAGGGGCAAACCCTCCGCCGCTTTGCAAGGAGGCGGAGGAAGCCCCACGCAGCCGCCGGTGACAGGCCGGCTGGGGAAACCCAGCCACCAGCCTGCAAGCGGGGGCCGAAGAGAGGGGACAAGGCGTCCGGTGAGGGGGAGTCAGCAGGGAACGGAGCAGCGAGCGGCAAACCCACCACCGCTTTGCAGAGAGGTGGGGGAAGCCCCGGGCTGCCGCTGGCAATGGGCCGGCTGGGGAAATCGTGTTATTCCAGCGACGGTCGTGTAATTCAAAAAATGTTCCCTAAAAAAAAATCATGCACCGCTGTTTGCCACCTGCTTGCAAGAGGCGGAAGCAGCGGGGCAGAGCAGCTGGGGTGCTGCCGGGTTGGTCCCGCAGTGCTGCCCCTCATCTAGCCCCTCTCCTCCGTCACTGCTTGCAGCCCCAGCTGGCCCGTAGCAGGTGGCTGCATGGGGCTTCCCCTGCCTCCCTGCAAAATGGTGGACATCTTTATACTGCCTTCATACTTACGATAGCCACACTTCTTGCATCCTGCCCTTATGTTATCCTTATTTCCACCTGAAAACAAACAAACTTCTGTTTATGTTCTAATTAGTAACACACAAAATTGTTTCTTTTTATCCTTTATATTTGATTTAACATGGTGTCAAAGTGCATATGCATATTGCAGTGGCTTCAGGTGGTAGCTGAGTTAGTCTGTTACAGAAAAAACCAGCAAGCAAATGGTCTGCTAGCACTTTATAGACAAACAAAACATGTAGATGGTATGAGCTTTCGTGGGCACAGCCCACTCCTTCAGTCTATTAAAAAAATCTGTAACTAGCTAGTCTATTGTCTGGCTAGGCCAGAAGGATAAGATACAATGGATGCGATTTAAATGTCTCGGAGTACCCAGCAAATTAAAGTTTATGGTGCATATAATTCTCTAATCATTTGCATATATGTGGGGACAGCGCTGCCCCTTCCTCATTCTGGTTCTTAGCAATCCCACTGCTGGGACATCTCATCCTCTTCCAAAAAGAGGGGGCTAACTCCCAGTCATACCAGTCTCTAACCACCCATCTCCATTCCTTTAAATACCTTCTTTAAATTGTGTTTAAATTTATTTTATTGGATCACTTTATCAATTCCCTATTGGAGTACCTGTACTGAACATCTGTGACAGAGGCTCCAGCAATTAGCTTGACTGTCTTCCCTCACACCTAGCCCAGTTCCCAGAAATCTATTGATGCCTTCAATATCAGCCAAAAACATATCAACTTCTAAATCTGCAGGTGAACCCTATATTGTCCAATATAGTATGGCAGGATGAGAAATCATCAACTCCCTTATGCCATCTATGATTTTGGCCCCCTCTTTGTTCTCATACTTCCTACTCTTGTCAACCCATGGAGGCTTCACAGCTTCCTGCCAAACCCTGTGTCACAACATGTCCAACCAATTAATTTTTACTCCTGGGAAAGTTCTAGGATCTGCCCCAAGTCCCTCTTAGATCTGAACAATGAGCCTACCCCTTTACAGGTTCCCCAAATCATTTCCCCCAAGGTGAATAACAATCATATCTAGTGCTTGTTCACAGGCCATCTTACTATCAGGAGCATCACCTGTTCCCACAACCAGTGTTCCCTCTAAGATGCACAGGCAGCACAACTTCACAGGTGATGATTAATCAGTCAGCTCCATGCACAGAGCCCTGAGCCTGGCTCGGTGGGGCTGATTAATCACCTGTGAAACTGTGCTGCCTGCACAGCTTAGAGGGAACACTGCCCAAAACATGTCCCTCTCTCACTTTTTAACTTATTTTGGTAAGAAAAAGCATTGAGCCATAATGCAAAGGGAAACAGAATACAACTGTGTTACAACATCCCTAAAGTCACTTTTCTACCATGTATCCTATCACCATAATCCTGATATTCTATGTTAAAACAATTAGTGCCAAGTACTTTTTGTACTTGGCCACAGGTTGGTTTCAGGCATCCCAAAAGGGGCAGGGCTTCAGGTGGAAGGGTTCGTGGCTAGAGAAAGAGAGACTGTGACACAGACTGAGAGTGTGTGACAGTGACAGAGTGTGTGTGTTGGCTGCTGCTGAGTAAGTTCCTGAGAGAAGCTTTACTTTGTCTTTTTAAAGCAGGGGAAACTGCCCTGCTCTGTTGTTGTCCATCCACCCCCTGCAGAGATTGGGTATGACCCATTTACAATTGCTAGTAGCAAGTAGGAATATTAAAAAGCAGGTAATTGGGTAACTCTGTAACTGCAGAAAAGTTTCAGTGGTCTGATTGCTGCATTTGTGGTCAGAAAGCAGCTCTCCTCCATACCAGACAGCATGGGACAGAGATCACTTGTTGAGTTATATTAATGTACTGATGAATTCTTTCAGAAGGGCAGCCATGTTAGTCTGTGTTTGCAAAAACAATGAGTCCTATGGCACCTTAGAGATGGGGGCTACATCTACCCTGCAGACTCTTTGCACAAGAACAGCTGTTCTTGCACAAAAACTTGTGAAATGTCTACACTGCACGTGTGTTCTTGCACAAGTAAATTTACAGTAAAACATCAGAAAAGAGAACTTCTTGTGCAAGAGTTATTCCTCTCCCTACAAGGAATAATCCCTATTACGCAAGAGCTCTTGTACAAGAAGGCAGTGTGGTCAGGCAACAGGGGTTTCTTGCACAATAAACCCCTATGGCTAAAATGGCCATCAGAGCTTTCTCGTGCAAAAGAGCATCCACACTGCCATGGATGCTCTTGTGCAAAAGCACAAGGCAGTGTGGGCGCACTCTCGTGCAAGAACTCTTGCACAAAATAGTTCTTACACAAGAAGTCTGCAGTGTAGAAATAGCCTAACAGATTTATTAGGACATAAGCGTCCACAGGTAAAATCCTCATCATCAAATAAATTGGAGTGGTATTTACCAAGGCAGGGGGATATACACAAGGGCTGTGTCTACACTGGCATGAATTTCCAGAAATGCTTAAAACGGAATACTATTCCGTTTTCAGTTTTTCCGGAAAAGGAGCATCTACATTGGCAGGCTGCTTTTCCGGAAAAGCCCTTTTTCCGGAAAAGCGTCTGTGGCCAATGTAGACGCGCTTTTCCGGAAAAGAGCTCCGATCGCCATTTTTGCAATCCGGGCTTTTTTCCGGAAAAGACTACTGGGCTGTCTACACTGGCCCTTTTCCGGAACAGTGTTCCGGAATAAGGACTTATGCCCGAGCGGGAGCAGAATAGTTTTTCCGGAATAGCGGCTGATTTTGTACAGTAGAGCATCGTTGCTTTTCCGGAAATTCAAGGGCCAGTGTAGACAGCTCGCAGCTTATTCCAGAAAAGCAACTGATTTTCCGGAATAAGTGGCCCAGTGTAGACACAGCCAAGGACAACTTAAGAAAGAGGATACTTGGGTAAATGAGGCTAATCAAGTGTTATGTGACATCTTTACATTATGATTCAAGGACTTCCATAACGTACAGGCGTGGGTGGATTCTGTAGCCTGCAAAGGTCATGCCAGAGGACTTGATCATGATGAACCCTTCTGGCCTTAGCTATCTCCCCCCACCCGACCCTCCGCGAAACCTGGGTTTCTTCCTTCACTCGGCTCGTGGCCACTTCCTTTCTAGGCTGATACCGGCCCCCACTTGCTGCCCGGCTCTTTTCAAAGCTTCACTGCGTTGTCTCCCCCTGGACCTTTGCCCCGAGCTCGTCTCACCTACGGGCACCCTCCCAGGACGGGTCCGGCCCCCCAAAGAGCCACCGGAGGTTTCGGCGAGCGGAGACGATGGGACGCCCTCACCACCCAGGCTCCCGTCCCGGCCTCCCGCGCCAGCGTCTCAAGGGTCTCCTCGGCCGCCCGCTGCCCCCCCGCCGGGCCCGAGCCCTCAGAGCCCCGCCCCCTCTCCCCGGGCCGAGCCGGACGCAGGCCCGACACCCGAGCGTCCCGGCCGGAGGGCTTTGGGCAGCGCACACCGGGCCGTACCATTGGGAGGGGAGGGGAGGCGGGGTCACACCACGGTGTCGGTGCGGGGGATGGAGGAGGCGGGTCACTGGGGAACTCAGGCCTAGGGCGCACGACGGGCCCCCTCTCCCCGGGCCGAGCCGGACGCAGGCCCGACACCCGAGCGTCCCGGCCGGAGGGCTTTGGGCAGCGCACACCGGGCCGTACCATTGGGAGGGGAGGGGAGGCGGGGTCACACCACGGTGTCGGTGCGGGGGATGGAGGAGGCGGGTCACTGGGGAACTCAGGCCTAGGGCGCACGACGGCGGCGGCGTTTCCCAGGGGGGGGGGGGGGGGGGGGGGAGCAAACCCCCCCGCCAGGCCCCTGGGGAAGGCGAAGGGAGCGGGAGCCAGACGGGCAGCGCCGAGAAGGGCCCGCGGGACTGTTCAGTATCAGTTAATTGAATAGTCAAGAAACCGCATCGATTCCTATTGTTACTGGCTATTTGATAGTCCCCCGGGGTGGGGCCGGCAGCCAGCGCACTCCAGCCCCGGAGCCCAAGGAGCCGTTACCTCGGCTACAGAGGCGGCCGCAGCACAGGGTGCCAGGTGGGAGCTGGTCCATGAGGGAATCCGGGTTAAAAACCAGCTGCCCTTGGAGACCAGCTGCCTGCCCTGTGCTGCTGCCTCTGGTCTAGGTGGGGTCAGAGTTCCCAGACCTGGTGCAAAGCAGAACTGAGCTTGGCTGCTTGCCTGCCTGCCTAGCTCTTAATACACTTTAAATGCAGAGCTGCAGCGGGGGTAGGTCATGGACTTGGTGTGAGCTAGGATTCTGGCCAGCCTGCTAAAAAATTTACTGGCAGGGGAGGAGGGAAATGCGTGTAATATATAGCATTAACCAGTAAGCTTTTACTTACCAGTTAATTGGTTAATTGGCTACACTATTGCATCCCTAGAGCTGCTGCACCTCCTGGCTTGAAGCAGCCATAACCAACAAGTACATGGTTTCCATCATCGCCACCCACACTATAAAGTGGTTCCATCTAGGAATGTAAAATACCATTCAGTCAGCTAGCTAGTTAAATATTATGTTTAACCAGTCAACCGCATAAATGGGGGAGGGTGTGGGGGGGAACAGCTCCAGACCAGATGTATTGGAGCCACCTCCTGCCCCATTCACCATGGACACATTGGAGCAGTTAGGCTGGGCTGGCTGCGGGTGTAGGTTGCTCCAGCTGGACTGGAGCACCCTTGCCCACAGCACGCTGCTCTGTTAACCATTCACATCCGTAGTTCCAGCACTCCTACAACTATGTTACAATTGTTGGCAGGTGCAAGTTAGCTTAGCGTATTGCCTGTGTGAGCATATAGTCCTGTGCTTGCATTCTTGATTGCTTGCCTTGGCACTGAACATATGCATGCAGAGTAGTTGGGTCAATGCAAAGTGTGGTGACCTGCATGTAGGTATTCCAGCCTGCAAACCAGCGCTGAATAGTGAAAGGGTGAGCAATAAGACAGCGGCAATTCACCACAGTTAGCCCAGGGCAAGCCGCCAGCCCTTTATTTACCTGCATGTCCACAGGTACGGCCATTTGCAGCTCCCATTGGCCCCCCGATCACTGTTCCTGACCAATGGGAGCTGCGAGAAGTGGTGTCGCAGTCCACGCTACTTCCTGCAGCTCCTGTTGGCCAGGAACAGCAATTTGTGGCCAATGAGTGCTGCAAACAGCTGTACCTGCAGCTGCACAGGTAAATAAAGCATCAGTGGCCCGCCGTGGTGAACAGCGTCTGGCCTGTGAGCCACTCATTGCCCACCCTGGTCTAGCACAATACCTTTAGGGAAGTTTTCTCCTATGGTGGGATAGAAATTATGCACACTGTGATTTATGGGAGATAAGAGTAAAGTTCCCAGTATGCAATTTAGAATAATTTGGAACTCTTGGTAATATGGAAGACATAGTACATGGATTTGTAGCAATGGGATTCCAAGGCTGTGATATACATTAGACAAATCCCCATTTTGATACCAGCTTACCTTGCTATAGAGTACAGCAACAGAAAGGACTACTTTTTTGTGATTATGCAAGCAGATCACTAGGGGAACTTTACTGACATCAGTGTGGGGTGGGTCAAGGGGAATGCATGATGCTTATGTCCAGGGCTCGACAAATAATACAATCTACTGGTTGGTGACCACTGCCCTAAACACTTCATATATGAAGTGTGGGGGTTGCTTCTGAGCATATACTTACCACAGGATCCAGAGGCTTTGAAGCCTGGAGACCTTGGCATGCCCTGGTGCCAAGGGTACATGGGAAGGAGAAGATCTCCCAACTGAATTTTAATCTCTCTAAACAACTAAGGACTGTAACTACTATTAACTCACTGACATTAACAACTGTAAAGGACTATGAAAGAGTAAATAGGCTGCTTCACTTGCAAACAAGAGAACAGGGGAGTTTCATCTGTCACTGATGGTAAGAAGGAATTGAGGAGGGGGTGGATTGGCAGGGATCTATATTGGACACCATGCAGGCACAACTCCAAGGGGTGCCCAGGCTGATCCTATGGCTAGCTTCTAGGGGAAAAATCTTCCAGCTACCATAAATGTGCTCATGTACACACCTGATTGGAATGCATATGAATAAGCACTTGAAGGCTTTTTGTTTTCTTTACTACTAGAAGACTTATCTGGCATTGCCCAGGTGCTTCATTGCCGAGGGCTCATGGAGTGTGGGGGTCCAGGAGTCAGGGTAGGGCCTTGGGGATGTGGGGAGCTCAGTGCATGAGGCTGGAGGCATGGGAGTGTGTGAGAGTGAGCATTGGGTGGATGAGGCAGGCTCAGGACAGGGGGGCTCAGGACAGAGTGGCTGCTGGTTTCTCCTCGTGGATAGCCCAGGGCACCAGGTACTACAAACTCCCTCTGCTGGCTTGTCCCCAGGGCAAGCAGGGGCTCCCCCCGGTGTCTTCCTCCCCCTAGATCCTTCTGGGATGGCAGGGGCTTTTTTCTTCCCCTATGACCCTGCCCAGGTCATGGGGGGACTCTCTCTCTCCCGTCCTGGTTCCACCCAGGGCAGGGGGCTCTCTTCTTCCCCTCCTGGCCCTTCCCGGGATTTGGGGGGCTATCTCCCTTTCCCCTGATCCCTCCTGAAGCAGGGGGTGCAGCAGGGTCTCTCTTTCTCTCCCCCTTACCGCATCTGTGGTGAGGGAGTGAGGGTGGCAGGGGCTGTCTCCCTGGCAGGAGGGCCTTGCTTACCTTTTCTGGTGGCAGGCAAAATGTCAGAGCCTCAGCCCTGCTGGCCACTTCCTTGGTATTATGGCTGCCCCAATGGACACACTATAGCAGGAGTGGACAAAAGAGCCAAGTTGATCTGGCCCATGGAAGCCCTGCCACTCCCCCTACCCACAGGTCAGTTAGGGCCTGGATGTGGGAGAAGCACATGAAGTCTCCTCCCACTCTGCCCCGCCCTGCAAGGAGTGTGTGGCACTTAGAAGCGCTGCATGTTTCTGGCAGTGTGGGAGGAGACTCTGTGTGCTCCCCCACCCCCAAGCTTTATTGGCCTGGGGGCAGGGAGAGGGGAGTGTGCAAAGTCTCCTACAGCCCTGGGAGGGGCGTGGTGCTTCTAAGTGCCACACCCTGCTCCCATTCTGCAAGGAGACTTTGTGCACTCTTCCCATCCCCAGGCCAATCGGGGCTTGGGAGCCGGGAGAGCACATGAAGTCTCCTTCTGCCCTGCAAGGGCCTCGGCACTTAAAGTCAATTGCCAGCTGCTACTCAGCTGACTGTTGACTCTAAGCAGGGTGCTCCCTTGTGGGGTGGGGTCTGGGAGTGAGAGACTTCACATGCTCCCCTTCCCCAGGCCCTGATTGATCTGGGGACAGCAAGAGGGATACACAAAGTCTCCTCCCACTGCCAGGGGCACGAATACTTAGAGGGAACCGCCAGCTTTTCAGAACAGCTGATGATTCTCTTTTGGGGGGGGGGACAAAGACTTTGTGCACTCCCCTACCCCCAGACCAATGAGGGTTTGTGGGTGCGGAAGCACGGAAGTATCCTGGCCCCATCCCTTCTATCTGATGCCCTGCCCCTTCCTGGGTGGCCCGGGAGCACTTCAAAAATTTCTGAAGTGGCCCCTGGTCAAAAATTATTGCCCACCCCTGCTCTATAGGATAGCTCTCCCCTGCGGGCTCGCTGCTCCCAGGGACTCTTGTATTGGATCCTTCAGAACAGCAGCTCCTCCCTTTGCATGTTATGGAAAACTGTCCTTTTCCTGGGGCTTCTGGTTCTCCTAGCACAACCAAACCCTGACTTTACTTTAAGTCAGGGGTGGAGAACCTCAAGCCTGGGGCCGGATGTGGCCCCTGGCTTGCCTGGATGCAGCCCCTGAGGCTCAGGGCTCCCCCCGGCATTGGGAAACCTACACCTTACTACAGGACTGGAGCACACAAAATCTTCTAGCTTGTGCCCCACTAGACTCTGGTGTGCAAGAAGTGTCTGTCTCCTCAGTCAGGGGCCACGTCAGTGTGGGTACCCAATGTCACACAGCAGGACATTGGCAATAAAGTCTTATGAAAATTATTATTTGAGTTGTATCTTGTGTATCAGATAAACTGTAGGACAAATAGTTCTCATCTCGTATATTATACTAGCTGCCACTGAAAACCAGGCCAACTTCCTATTTTTGTTCTTGCATTCCTAAAATTATAGGAAGAATTGTTTTACTTGTGATTATATTATTTGAGCAGAAACTTCATCTGTAAATGTTTAAGTGAAATATGGCTAAATAATATATTTGCATGTATTTTATAGGTTTTGCTGAAAACAACAGCTGGTGATATTGATATAGAGTTATGGTCAAAAGAAGCACCAAAAGCATGCCGAAATTTCATCCAGCTTTGTATGGAAGGTAATAATTGAATCAGACAGTAGTTATTCAATTTACAGTATTTGTGACTTCTTACATTTTTGCTTTCCATAAAACAAGAATCAGAGAAACATTATGCTAATGTCCATGGGAATTGACATTAAGTCAAATATTTAGAAAAACAAGAAACATTGAAAATTTATATTTTTCAAAGCTATGGAAAAGGACACAGAATTTAAAAAAGCATTTTAAATATTCAATAGATGGCAGGTTATTACTAAACTAACTACATGAGGGACTTAAGAGGACTTATTTTGTGGTTATATTGTAACATGTAACTATGTTTTTCAGTAAACTCATGAAATGTTAACCAGGCAATAGAAGGAAGTCTTGCAAATGTACTTCGTGTATCACTAACCTTCCCTATTTATGGCTTCCTGTTTTCTTTTTTAAAAAATTGTGGATTTTTAATCTTTCATTGTGTTGCCATTTCAAAGTGGTGGGAGCAATGTAATCCAAATCAAAGAAATTGGGTTTGGGAGTTAAAGGGTCACCTTGGGAAAGTGGCACCATGGGAAGATGGAGCTTGTAGATGCCAGTATTTTTAGCTGGTGCCATCACCCCTTATATGTGTAACCCACACACCACCTGAGTGTGGTGTACTGTCCCATGTAGTGGCACTTAGACCACTTATAGAAAAAAATCAGGGGTTTGCTCTACAGCCTTAGCTGAGAGCCAGCTGGCTTTTAATTAAAGTTGTAGAGGCTCACGCACTAAACTCCAAAGGTTCCAGGTTCGATTCTGCCTCTTGGCGTAACATATATATCATTACTGGTAAGATATACGTGAGAAGGGGTCTTCGGGAATCGTTTCTTGAAGCTATCCTCTGTTCAGGAGATTCTTATTGCTGTGTCTTGTGCCTCCAACAAAAATCAAGCCCATCATTTCTTGTAGAGCTAGAACATATCTGTTTGAAAGACATTGAGTCCTGGTGTAAATACTAATACATCCCTTTGTGAGTTGTTCCAATGGTCATCTACCCTAAATATTTTTTAAAGTATTATGCATTTGTAGTCTGAATTTGTCTAGTTTCCATTTCTAGCCGTTGGATCTTATTATGCTATTGTCTGTCTGCTCAGTTAAAGAGCCTTCTACTGTCGAAAATCTTCTCTGTGGGTGCTTATAGATGATGATCAAATTACCTCTGTTGTCTCTTGGATAATCTGAATAGATTGAATTTATCTTTCTAGTTGTAAAACAAGTTTTTCAGCCCTCAGGTCATTCTTGCAGCTGCTTACTGAGTTCTTGCCAATTTGTTAATGTTGCTTTTAAAATATAGATGTTAGAACTGGATTCAGTATTCTAGTAATAGTCTTATTAATGCCATATATAGAGATAATAATGACTAAGGATGTTAGAAAGTGATTAATTGAATAGTCGTGTAACTGCACAAAATATTATTACATGACTATTTGATAGTCCCCAGGGGGTGGGGTTAGGGTGGTAGCAGCCCCTCTTCGCAGGATGGTCTGAGCTCCCCATGGACAGAGGCTGTTCTGGCATCCCACAGAGCAGCCTCTGTCCATGGCGAGCCTGATAGAGGCAGCAGTGCAGGGTGAAGGGACAAGTGGCACCATGAAGCCAGTGCTGGATGGAGCCCGCTATTAAGACAGCTCTCCCCAGCATTGGAGGAGGCAGCAAGGCAGGAAGCAGGCGGGTCTGTGGATCTGGCATGTGCGGAGAGTCGGCTTAAAAGCCCGTTCCCGTGCGTATTGGCTTCTCCTACTTCCCCTCACCATCTGCGCTGCTGCCTGTCTATCAGAGGTAGCAGTGCAGGGGTGGAGGAGCAGACAGATCCAGTACTCACGGGGAGCTGGCTTAAAGCTGACTTAAAGCCAGCTCCCAACAGGCATCGGCTCCTGCCTCCCAACCTTGCTGCCTCTGATACAGGGCCGGGGGTGAGGAGGAATGCATGTAGTCAACAGAATTAACCAATAAGCCCAGGTTTATCAGTTAATCTTGCAGTCGTCTACATGTTGACATCTCTAACACACGCTTTGTGTGTAACACACATTCTGTGTGAGCGTTTCTCTCTCTCTCTCTCTTTCTCACTCTCACACACACACACACACACACACACACACACACACACTCACACTCATCTCCTAACATATTTTGTTGTTACTTATTGATACCTCCTGCAATGCGTACATATTCTCTCTAATTTTATTCCTTCAATATGCTGTTATTTGTTCTATGGATTTAATATTTTTTTATTATTCTCATATATTTAAATTTAATTCTTTGGGTACTGAGTTCCAAAATGCCAAACCTTTCCTGGCTGAAGTAATTATCCTTATGGTAACTTTTTAAAAATTATATCTCGCTGTACATATTTAAAAAAACTTTTCTTGTGGGATGATGGAAGTGACATCATGTGTCACTCTGTATTCCCACCCTCAGCCCCTCCCTCTGTCTTCCCCTGTGCCCCGTGGAACCCCGAGCCATACCTGGGCACAGTGGAGTAGCAGGGCTGCAGGGAAGGGCTGTATGTCCTGTGGCACTTTGGGCTGCTTCGGAGCGGGCAGTGGCGGGGCTGGGCTAGGGATCAGGTGGCCAGGAAGCAGGGCAGCCTCACTCCAGCTGCTTCACAGCTTCCCTCTGCCCACTTGGTCCTTAGTGCCTATGGTCACAGCGGGGAGCTGCTTGAGACAAACAGAGGGCCTCCGCTTCTCTCTCAGCGAGTGGGATTGAGCCCCAAGCAGAGAGACACAACAGCTTGGGCAGCTCATAGCCTGCAGAGGTGCCTGTGTCTCCCTGCACGCCCTCGGCTGTGGGGCACTGGTGGGAGAATGGGAGTGTGGGCCAGGCGGAGGTGGCAGTTCCCTCCTGGGTCCCAGAGTATCAGGGGCCCCAGAGCACAGCAAGACTCGCTGTCCCCTGGCTCGACCCCAGCTCTCCACTGGCAGCCAGAGAGGGGGCCGAAAACCGTGGCTGTAACCAGGAAGGGGGATGAGAGGCGGTGGGGGTAGGGGGAAGCTGAGAGGCCAGGGTTGCATCAGCCCTGACCCTCCCCTCCTCAATGGCTAGTTGAGGGAGTGCAAGAGGCCAGGCCTGTCATGGCTCTGGCCCTCCCTGGCAGCTAGGGGGAAAGATGGACCTGCCTACCCCTGGAGACAGGGGATTTGGTAAGCAAAGCAAGCAGGGGTTACTGCCCCCTAGTTATATCTAGAGTGGGTTTTTTTCTATTGGTGGCCCAAATCTTTACACTATTGTGATAATTTGGTGCACATAATAAAATTTAGTCTGCATATAGATTGGAAAAAAATTAAAGAGAACTATCTTAGTTCATAGAGTGCATTGCTTTACCACCTCCAGGGAACATCTGTTATGATTAACATCACTCTCATCCTCCTACTCAGAGTTCTGCAACCCAGAAGTTATTTTTGATTCTCTTACCTCCATATTTATGCTTTGTCCATATCCTGCCACTTCTTCCTCCATCACTTCCTATTTGAATAGTAATAGAGATGTAGCCGTGTGAGTCTGGTCTTGTTGGAACAAAAGACAGGACTATGCAGCACTTTAAAGACTAACAAGATGGTTTATTAGGTGATGAGCTTTCATGTGGGTCTGGCCCACGAAAGCTCATCACCTAATAAACCATCTTGTTAGTCTTTACAGTGCTGCATAGTCCTGTCTTTTGTTCCTGTTTGAGGTTAGGGATGTTAAAATGCGATTATTTCCCTAATAGATTTTCTGTCAACTATTCGATTAGTTGACAAGGGAGGGCAGTTGCAGCGCTCAGTCTGGCTCACGCCGATTCACAACACAACCACCTCAGCTGCTGCTCTGCATTAAACAGCCTAGGGAAGCCGCACGCGAAGGCTCTAGCTCAGTCTCTGCTCCACGCGTCTCTTTTTATTCATCAGACCACACACACGCCACCAGCTGCTGCTCTCCTTTAAACAGCCCAGGGAAGCCATGCATGAAGGTGCTAACTCGGTCCCTGCTCCACGAGTCTCTTTCATTCCGAAAATGAAAATTCTGGTCTGATTAATAGAAAGAGACCCACGGAGCAGGGGCCAAGCTAGAGCCTTTGTGTGCGGCTTCCTGTGGGTCTTTCTGTGCTGCTTCCTGTGGGTGGGTGGGAGGGAGAGGGAGAGAGAAAGGACTGATGGAGCGCGTTCTCACGCCGGCTTCCCTGGGCTTTACAATGCAGAGCGGCAGCTGGGAGGGAAGTGACTAGTCGATAGTGCTAATTGATAAGGTACTGCTTATTGATTAGTTGACTAGATGCTAACAGTCCTATTTAAGGTTTCAACCCTGTCTAAACCAGTGGTCTCCAACCTTTTTAGACACGAGATCACTTTTTGAATGTAAGTGCAATCCAAGATCTCCTTCAAACCCAAACACCCTTGCCCCACCTCCTTTGTGCCCTTCTCTGAGGCCCCACCCCTGCTCACCCCATCCTCCCTCCCTTTCACCAGGCAGGGGCAGCAGGTTGGGGGAAGGTTCTGGTCTTTGATTAAGGGATCTGGAGTGCGAGAGGGGATCAGAGCTCAGCCTGGGGCAGGGAGTTGGGCAGTTAGAGGGGGTTCGAGGTGCAGGCTCTGGGAGGGCATTTGGATGCAGGGGTGCTCAGGGCTGGGGCAGGGCTTGGGGTGCAGGAGGAGGTTCATGACTGGGGTGGGGTTTCAGGATGTGGGCTCCAGCTGGGCACGGCTTACCTCAGGTGGCTCCTGGTTGGTGGTGCAGTGGGGCTAAGGAAGGCTCACCCCTGCCTTGGCCCTGCACCACTCCCTAAAGCAGCCAGCAAACTCCTTCCCAACTCCTGTTGTGCCCCCTCTTTTCTCTGTGGAGATAAGATACAGGGTGAGAGAGGGAGCCCCTTGGCTTGAGCACCCCTCACACTCCCCTGCACTGCACCGAAAGCCGGAGGCTCCTGAGGGGACAGCTCCAAGGCAAAGGGCAGAAGATGCACAGGAGTGGGAGGAGAGGCAGCTGAAGTGCCAGCGCTTGATCACCTCTAGGCCAAACCAGTCAGGATCACCTGTCAGATGCTCCAAGATCTACCTGTAGATCCCAATCTACTGGTTGGTGACCACTGGCCTAGACAGCTAAAGCTCTTGTCTAAGTCTGGATCACATCCCATCTTGATTTTTTCGCACCTCTTATCTTCCTGGCTTGACTCCTTTGTAGGATTTATATATGTTCTCCTCCCCAATGAAACCCCCATAAGCTTGCCTTTCTCCAGGCATCAAGTTCGGGTTTCTTATGAATGTTTTCATGGAATTAAATAACTCTGTTCTACTCATTTTGCCCCAGTGTGCTTTGCTAATGAGGCCAGCCATTGATACTTGTTTATCCTACAAATGCTTCCATGTGTTGTTCCATATTTTCCTTTACAGATGGAATTCATTCCTTGTACTCATACAGAAGGCAAATACAATCTCTTTTTAAAACCTGCCACTGCTGTGATGCTTACAAGAAAATAAGCAATTATTGACACTTAGATTAATAGTTTTTAAGGACAGAGGGATCACTATAATGATTTAATTTGACTTCTTCATTAACACAAGAGAAGGAACTTCACCTAGTCATTTCTGCATGAAATCCATAACTTCTGTTTGAGCTGTAGTATATCTTTAGACATACTGACCCACAGAAAAATCAGTTGGGGGCCGCACACCACACAAATGAGAAGCAAAAAAATCCAAAACATCCCCCCCAAACAAACAACCCCTCCCAAAAGCAGAGCAAAACAAACCCAAAAAACCCTCACTGACATGGTCCCAGACTGAGAGAGAAAGACACTCCCTGTATTCCCCTCCCGCCCCAGAGCCTGGGAGAGACCAAGGCTAGTAGATTTTGAGTATCCTGGTCCCGCAGGGGAGTTGGAGCACCAGCATAGACTCTCCATGCTGGAGGGCAGTGAGCCTTAAGGGCCAGATCCAGGCAATCCAGGTACCTCATCCGGACCTGAGGTTCCCCACCTTTGGTTTAGACCAATAGCCAATCTTTATTTTAAAATATTTATGTTTAGGGGCAGAGATGAGGATAGAGTTTTTCCAAAAATTTGGATCCCCCTGTCCTCTACCTTTTAAATAGTTTGGAATCATCGACTTGTACCCTTCTAACTAGCCTATGTTACTGCATCATTTTATTAATTTTTCATTTTTGTTCCACCTCCTGTTTTTTGTTTTGAATTTCTCTCATTAAGGCAACATCTGTTTTCCTATTTGTTTCTTTGGCGCTTTGAACAATAGGGCCTTTGAGCACTGCTACAATATAAATATTAAGAGGAACTTCTCAAGAAACATAAACTGTCCAAAGTGCTATGAAGTAGTAATTTTACTCTTAATAGTTTAAAATACTACTTGAACGTACAGAGTGCTGGGACTATGTCATAATTAGGAGACTTGGTAGGAAGGGAGCAAAAGTTCACATTGTGTATGAGATTATTAGAGAGAGAGAGAGTGAAATTTGTTTTCAGTAGTCAGAATAGTAACATCACTAATATGGTAAAAAAATGTTTAAAATGTATGAAGACTCCTTGAACTTGGCCTATTTTAAATGGAAATATTTCTAGTTATAGTATAAAATTTGTAAGTCATCCATTGTCTTTAACAAGATAATATTTTTTTAAATGAACTGCTATATACGTCAAGCAGTGTTACATTTTCACCTCCCAGAAGCTGTTTTGATTTCCCTATAATAAAACCAAGAAACACAATATTTCAGAGTCAGATTAGAGCACCATATAAGGTGAAACTGCTGAATATTTGTCAATGCTGGTTTGTAGCCAATTTCATTGTTTGGCCATACTACATTTAAAACTTTAGTCATGGAGAGGGAAGAAAAGAATGAAAGGAGAAATATCTTCCATACTGAAAGTGTGAGAGTATAGCCCTAGTCTGTCAATTTAAGAATTTTGTATTCCACCAGTTGATCTATCATGGCAGGCGGCCATTGATTTGGCAATATTGGAAAAATGCCTTTTTTTTGTGTTCTTGTTTTATTTTTTTTAACACAGCTTTCTTTATTTCCAGTCAGTTATATGATAGTGGTGTTATACTCAATTTCTTGAATGCTTGATAATTGACAATAAGAAATTATTTGCACAGGAAAGCCCAACATTGTAACATATAATGTGGAGTGTGCAGTTTATTTTTTCTCATGTTTATTGATATAGTTTGTATGCAGTTTCTAGCTCCACTAATTCGTATAAACTAACCTTCAGGTTAGGAAATTTAGAATAACCATGAAGCCATGTAGCTAAATTGTAGTAGTCTAATGCTTGTATAAAAATATAATAATAAGATTTATGCAGTGTAACATGTCTGACTAGCAGAAAGTTGCTGTTGGTAATAGTGCATCAGACATGTTGTTTGTGTCTGTTACTGATGTGAAGGCAGGAACAGACTAGGAACAGAGAGGCTTGTGATTCACTATGATCACCCTTTTGCCTTTAGGACTATTTTTAGTATAAGACTTAAGAATGTTTGCATTATCCTTTTATTGTGGAAAACTTCATATCAATTACTTTTTATTCTTAAAATGTTCCGTGCTGTTTCGGTCTTTAAAAAAAATAACTATGTAGTACTTGTTTGTGTGAAGAATGGGTGCATGGGAAAAAATAATCCTGAAGGCTATCGCTGCATCAGTATTGTCAAAGGAGAGGCTGGAGACTATCAACTGTACCCATTATACCTAATAACTAACAAGAGGCAGGTTGACGACCCTGAAGCTAAAACACATACTACTGGGAAAAAAAATAACAAAATCCAACTAAAACCAGAATGTGAAAACACTCAGAGTCATTAAGATGCTGATGCGGAATGATAATGAAAACAATCTTGAGATAACCATTTGTTGCAAAGTAACTGATTATAACATAATGTAGCAAAACTCATAAATTTGTATATGAAGGAACTACTATAAAAGATGGGATGCCTTGCCATGAGTCTTTGGGTTCCACTCTACAAAGCTTTGAAGCACTGGATCACAACCAACAAAACCTGATTCCCCAATTGAACCCAATCTAACTTGTCATTAGATTGGTCTGATCCACAGACTGGTAACTGTAAGAATGCCAACATTGGCAGTAATAGTGTGAATGGATTCATATGCTGCCTTTTATGTTGCATTCTCAATAAACACAGCATATTCCTTTTCCCCCTTAATATAGATGCCATGTGTTTCTTGTAAGTATAAGATTTTTGGTGGAGAATGCAGGCACATTGCTTATATTAAGTGCACTTTTAGATCAGTTTAAAAATATCTATAGTAAATATTCTTTTTTCTTTGCAGGTTATTATGACAACACAATATTTCACAGAGTTGTGCCTGATTTTATAGTGCAAGGGGGAGATCCATCTGGTACTGGGTCTGGTGGAGAGTCAATTTATGGGCTTCCCTTCAAGGTAGGAATCTGCATAATTGTTTGAAATTATTGTATGTTCATTTGCAAGTGACTTTACTAATAGAAGAGGTTGATAAAACAAACCTTACATAAGAAATTATTTTTTTTCCATGTACAGAGATTGCTTACACTACTTGTATCTCCATTTTTGCATGCACATTTCTAAAATCTGTCTGAATTGTTCCTATAGTACTAATACAATGTGCTAGCCCAGTGTTTCCTAACCTTTTTTTATACGGGGGACTGGCAAACCCATTCACAAACTTTTGGTGAACCAGCAACATATTATCTGTATATTTGCATATTTATTATGCAAATATGAATATGTGAATATATAAATAAATGTTACTGGTCCGCCAAAAGCTCCAGAGCCCCCTGCCCCTTCAATACCCCCCCATTGCTAGCCACTGATCCCAGAGTCCCCCTGACTTCACCCGAACCCGCTTTGCCAGCCTCCCACCCCCAGAGCCCCCCAGTGCCAGCCTCCCACCCCTCAGAGCTTCCCCAACCACCCCCCGTGCCAGTCTCCTCTTTCAAGAGCCCACTGCACCCAGCCCCGCCCCAGTGCCAACCCCAATATTAGCCCCATCTCAGAGCCCTCAAGTGCCAACCCTGCCCTCATAGTCCCCCCATTACTAGCTCCACCCCCAGAATCCCCCAGTGACAGCTCCTCTCCTGGATGTCCCAGTGCCCCCCAGTGTCAGCCCCCTACCTCTTAGAGCTCCCTAGTACTAGCCCCGACCCCAGAGCCCTCCTGTATTAGCTTCGCCCCCAGTGCCAGCCCCCTGCCTCTTTGAGCCCCTCACTTTCCCAGAGTCTCTCAGCACTAGCCCTGCTCCCAGAGCCTGTCCTACCCCCCTTCACTTAGCCCTGAGCTGCCTCCCAGCCGAGCGCTGCTGCCTGGGTCGTGACTCCTCTAAGGCTGCCGTGCCAGGCTCCGCACAGCCCTCCCACTGTAGAACAAAGCACTCTTGTGTCCAGGAAGAGACCCCGCCGCTGCATAGTGCTGCTTGGCTGAGGGGCAGGGCAGAGCAGGACACTCCTATCCCAACTACTGTGGAGGGAGGAGTGTACCCCATCGCTGGCCCCCAGAGGCGCCGCAGACCGGCAGTTGGGAATCGCTGTGCTAGCCTGTTACAGTATTCCCAACCTGTAGCCCGCATGTGGCTCAATTAGCACACAGCTAATTTGCCATTCTGCTCTGCTGGGGGCAGTGCTGGCTGAGGGGGCCCAGCAGCATCTTGCAGCAACTTGCATGAGCTGCTCTTGCCATCAGGAGGCTGGTGAGTGCTGCAGAGAGGCTTGTGTGGGAAAGTGGGTCTGTGGGTAGGGTTTGGAGGGGGCAGTGAGAGGGTGGAGATGCAGGGAACTATGGTTTTGCTGGGGTGCAGTAGCACCTCCAGGTTTTAGGTGGGGCTCTGCTTCTGGAGTCTGAGCTAGATGCCTGACTTTACATGGCGGGGTCCATGTCTGCTGCCCGGCCCCCACACGGTGTGGTTCCAAGCTCCAGCATTTGGTCCCACACTGCAAGGTTTTGGGTCCATCTGTCTGTTCCCACATGGCAGGTTCCCCTGCTCTTGCTGGTCACCTCCCAACTGCCTAGCTTGGCACAAGTCATTGATTCCCATCAGCAGCCTGCTCAGCTGCACATGGTGGGATCCCAGCTCCTATCAGCCACACGGTGCAGTCCCATGCTTCTGTTGGCTGTCTGCCCACTTGCTGCCTGGCCCCATGCAGTTGAGTCCTGGGCTCTCTTCTGCCACTTACCCGGCCCTCACAGCAGGGCTCTGGACATGCTTTCACAGCTCCGTGCAGCAGTGTCTTGGCTTCCTGCTGCCTGACCCTGCACTGTGAGATCCTAGGCTCCCACCATCCATGTGGCAGGGTTCATGGTTTCATTGGCTACCCACCCGACTGCTGCCTGCCCCTGTGTGGTGGAGTCCCGGATTCACTCTGGCTGCCCACTCAGGCCCAGCTGTCAGCCACCCACATCTGCGTGGGGAGGCTAATGGGAGCCCAGGATCCCAGCATGCAGGGCCAGATGGC